GGTAAAAATCACGGACTTCTACCTGCCGTCAAAAACGAGCCAAAACAATTCATCTACCTATTGAGTACCGCAAACACTGCAAAACTAAAAAGACGTACCTAACAAAAGAAAGAGGTAGTTAACAAGGAGTACAAATACGAGCAACCAACAAAAATTATGCAGAACGAAAAATGACACTGAAGATGGCACAACGCCGAAACCGGTTTGTCTCCAAACCAAATTTGACAAGGGATGACGGAAATTCGTTCCATAATACATCATTAGTCACGACTTTTTCCGTTTCATTTACGATGTTGTTACGTCTTTTTGCATTTCAGATGACGATATGTACTTAAATATCACTCATTTACTTTAACGAGTGTCAAAAAAGCAGAACTCGAGATAAACGGCTTTAAAGTTTTGAATTTATATATACATACATATGTATGTACGAAGAAGGTTTATAAATCGTCGGAACCTTATCTTTTGACTACGCAAACCGATTTCAATCATTTTTCCACCGGAATTATAACATATATTATATTTAAAGATTTCCGCCAAATATTTCGGAAAAATATGTATTAAGGTTTACGTCGAGTTATTTCCGGACAAGACTCCGTCAGAAAATAAGCGATATCCAAGGGCTTTCCCGACTCGACCAGGACTACGATCTGTACGATCGCTGATCGCGAAAATTTCGTGCATTTATAAGACTTTATAAATATTAACAAAATTAAAAAAAAATTTATAAATATTTTTCCAAAGCACTCATGGAAATTCGAATTAAATACTACTGGTACTAGTGATACTCTAACTCTGAAAATATTCACACACTTTTTACGCGACTGCCTTAATTTTAAGTGACTACAAAGGAAATAATTTAAAAATGCCGGTTTGGGCACTCAAGAAACAGGCTTGCTTTACTTTTATGATTCTTTTGCATTTACATAGTAACTGCGCATAAATACATATTTACGTACATAAGTGCTACTGGAAGCGTAGAAGATTAGCAGGTAGCGTCAAAGAAGCGCAAGTGCAAGTCTCTTACCTCCTTTGATATTGTTAGCAACGCACCTTTATTGGTTTCCATGCAATTAAATGACGTATTCTCATTTTCATCTTTGATAGAGCGCATTTTTACAGCGCCATCTGCACAGGAGGATACACCGCCAACGCCAACGCCAACGCCATTGCCACTCCCACCACTACCACCGCTGCCAACGCAAGCGGAAAACGGCGACTCCAGCAGCGATTCACTGTCACTGTGCGCTTCGTCTTTAATCTTCGCCAAATTGCTACTGTCCGATTCTTGAGAATCTTGTGAGTCGCTAGCTCCTTTCGAGTGTTCCTGCTTCGCCTTCTTTTGGATTTTTTTCACCTTGGCACGCTGATTTTGAAACCAAACCTAATGTGGTGAGTAAGCAAAGAAGTGTTGGCTATTAGTGTACATAAGTTTGAGCGGAATTTAAGTCAGTTTTCTGCAAGAGGATCTACCTTTATTTATTTTATTTTTTTTTTTAGTTTTAATATTAGCATGATTACATACATTTTTTTATTTATTTTTTTCAAGTCATAATAAAATAATGTAGTTACTCACACCTTCCTGGTAATTAGATTAACTGGTTAAAAATTATTATTTTCTAGTGTATTTCATTGTTGTAAACTGAATAAAAAATACGAGTAAATAACAAGATAACCAGGCAGGTGTGAACACCCTTAATGTTTCAAAAAAAAATATGTTTACATATAAAGCATTTTTACCTGTACAATTCTTAAACTTAATCCAGTCTCCTTTGCTAAATTCTCTCTTACTTTTCGACATGGTTTTGGCGATAACTCAAAAGATGCTTTGAAAGCCCTTCTCTGCTGCGTATTCAGAATGGTGCGGGGTCGCTTAGGACCACGTCGTCCATCCAATTTCGGCGTAAATAAGTCGTCGCCATAAAAATCTGCGCGTAGAGAGAAAATAAATTAAACAACACATGGGCACATACATACATACATATACACACATATATGTACATTAGACCAGTCCACCTTACACGCAACCAAACAAAAGTTCGCTGTGCACCTCTGAGTCCTATTTCTGAATATTTTTTCAGGGCAATTTCCTAAAAACATTTTGTTGTTTGGCCGAACCTACATACATACATACATATGTAGGTTAAATTGGTCCAAAAATGTATGTAAAAAAAATAAGGTCGGATTTTTAATGCCGGCACCCCCTAGGATTGTTCTATATCGAAAAAAATATACCCCTATTTTTTTATTTTGAAAAAAAAAATAGGGAGTGCTCAAAGCGCTCAAAGTTTTCCATGTATTTTATATGGGGGAAAAACAACTTTTCGTAGAATTTCGTAGTGTAGAATTCTTGAAAATCAACAGTTTTCGATCGGAAAACTTTTCTTATCTTCAGGAGATTCCCAGTAATAATACGCAATTGTCTCTTTAACCATTTTTTCATAGTAACTATATTTTATAGGTCCTCCAAAACCCCTAGAAAATGCAATGGAAAAATCTTTAATCATAAAAAATAGCTAAATAAACAATTGGATATTAATACTGGAAGTCTCCTGAAGAGAACCACAGTTTTCCGATTGAAAAATATTGATTTTTAAGAGTTTTATACCATTTCTACGAAAAATGATTTTTTCTCCATATAAAATACATGGAAAACTTTGAGCGATTTGAGCACCCCCTAAATATTTTTTGATTTCAAAATAAAAAAATAGGAGTATATTTTTTTCGATATAGAACAATCCTAGGGGTTGCCGGCATTAAAATTCCAACTTAATTTTTTTGGACCACTCTAATGTAGGTGCACCAAAAAATGTAAAAACTTTTCACTAAAAAGCCATAAAGTATAAATTTTTTAAATAGTTCTACTGGAATATTTGAAATATTACCTTAGCAAAAGTACAATGATTTTTTAACGATCTTTATTTTACTGGCATTAGGGTGTGACGTTATGATGATAAGAACTGAGATCTGGTTGGTAAGTACTAGAACAGAGTACCTGAGGACAATGAAAAGAAATTGCCTTCTCGAGATCTGATTGTAAATACCGAAGGTATGACTAGAAATGCAAAAAAATACCAATACGGTCGGGCAAAAAAAAATTTATATTTTTTCTAAATTGCCTAGCAAAATTTTTTTAGAACCAGAGGTGTAAGGCGAACAATTTTTCTGGTATGGTCGAATGTACATACGAACAAGTTTGCAAACATTTTCATAGCTAAATGATGAATGAAAACTAGAGTATTTTTAGTTTCGACTTTTGTGACGTCCAACCTACCATAACCCTGCAGCATTTCCACCTCCTTTTCATAATCCAAACGGCAGAATAGTTGACCCTGCTTCACCACATACTGCTCTCCCTTCTTCAAGATGCCGCCGCATACAACGCAGGCAAAGCATTTCAAATGGAAAACGCTGTCAAAAGTTCGCATAACCAGCTCATCGGAGGCGATTCTGTGACCACAGCCGAGGCATCGATTGCGCAGAAATTGTCTGTGAGTATGCGTATATGTATGTACATATGTAAATGCGTTAAAATGTAATAAGGTAACTTTGATAAAATAATTTTAGATTAAAGTTATGAATATGTACATATGTATATCTCCAAAACACACGTAAAAGTACAAAACAAGCTAGATACTGTTTAGATTTCATACGTGACTTATAGATCTGTGTGAGAGATCATTTTGCAATACCTCGAGCCAATCGGCCTTTATCTTTCGAAGGCTTTCCAATGACGCTTTAAGAGATCAATGCAGGAAGGGATAATTGAAAGTGCCTTGCATGCCGATTATATGCAAACTTTATTAACTTAAAAAGATAAAATTTATTAAAAGCGCATTTTCAATACGTATTCGTCCTTGTAAACCAAAAAACTGTATTGTTTTTAAATTCTACAGAATTTTCTTTCTCACTTGGTAACCATATATTTATTCTGGCTGCATTTATTTATTCATTCTGAACGTGTGGAATAAACCTGTTTGTTTATTTATTCTTTAGAACGTTCCTGATGATATGCTAACGTATATTTCAAACGTATTCTGTTTGTTCCGGCTGTGAAATGGGATTATCCGGAATGTATAAAGAAACGCAGCCTCTATATTACACTGATTTTTTTTTCTTTAAAATTAATTAATTAATTAATTAAAGTCCATGAAACAAAAATTCCTGACGACGGAGTGAAAAACTAACAAGTAATTTTTAGCAAAAAAAAAACCGACTTCAACTCTCATATAAGAAAAATATATATATATATATATATATCTCTCATGACCCACTGATCGGATCTTAACCAGATTCCGATGCAAAAAGAATTATCGAAATCGGTTGACGTGGTCCAAAGTTATGCGGTAACATACATAAAAAAAAATAAAAAAAAAAAATAAAAAAATATTCCGACGAACAGATAACCTCCTACTTTTTTGGAAGTCGGTTAAAAACACAGTTTTACTATATTTGCCCTATAGTTTCGTGATTATATCGATTTTTTCGCGTGTTTTGAAATTTTCCTGTTTTTGTGGCACGGTGTAATAGAATGAATAATTAATTGCGTGGAAATTATTTATACATAGAAAAAAGTAATTAGTTTTGTCTGATAAATAATGAAGTGAGAGTAACTGAAATTTTACTAGTATGTATAATATTTGAAATATTTTGCCTCTAACCGAATTCTAAGAGGAATACACAAATATTACGTATACGCCCTGACAATTGATTGGGTTTGAGCGTTTATTTAATTAGATTAGTTGAACGCCTTAAAGCTCTTCAAGCTTTAGGTACGTTTGGAGCAATATTCATATTTGCACATATGTTTGTTTCTATTTTATGTACTTATACTGTACTTATTTTTAATTGCACACACCTACATACATATCTACTAAATATGAAATATGTAAGTACATTTCATAACCATTCAAACAATAAACATACTAACGGTACCCAAATAAATGTGTATATACAAACATATACATATATATATATATACGCATACATATTGCAAATCATGAGCAAATATTTACCTTTCATAGTCTATGCGACAATAAAGTTTGCCATCGCGCGCATAACAGGAGTGGAGCAAGTGCAGGGCGCAGGTGGCGCACTTGAGGCATCCCTCGTGAAATGAAGTGTCCACGACTCGCATTATGTAACGATCACAAATTGGCTGACAACAATAGGCACACTGCGTTGCGTCTGATGTCGCGGCGGTGCGGCAAGTCAACGCTGACGACGACATCGGCAAATGCAGCGACAATGATAATGGCAGCGCCATAGGGAGCCCGAGTGCAACGGCGGCCGCGGAGTCACATTTGGTGCCAGCCTTTGTGGCGTGGCGCAGTGATGTGGATGGCGTGGGGGGCGTCGAGTTGCAAGGCGGCGAGTTGCCCTCGATTGGAAATTGTGTATGCGAGTGCGTGTCGAAATGCATTTGCAAGTGTTGTTGTTGTTGTTGCTGTTGTTGCTTTTGCAGGAGTGAGCCATGCGACTGCATAGTGACAAACATACTGCTGTTGGTGTTGTTGTTGTTGTTGCTGTTGGCATTGTTTGTGCTGCCATTGTTGCCATTCAGGCAATTAGTTAGGTTACTATTGCCGTTGTGGTCAATACAATTGTTGTTGCTGTTGTTGTTGTTGGTATTTGTGGAATACATGGCAGCCGTGTTGCAGGCGTCATTGCAGTGGCCGCCTCCTCCAAGCCCACCATCGCCACCAGCAGCAATACTCAAGTTGAAATCATCCATTGCTGTGCCATTGCCGCAGAACAGGGAGGCGGGACCCAAGGGTGGCGGCCGTCCCGTACCCGGACTCGCAATCGGCCCGGTTACTGATATATTCAACTCCATTTGTTGATGTGACTGCTCCTGCTGCTGCTTCTGACCGCCATTGCCGGAATTGCTCATTTTGTTACAGTTGCTGTTGTTGCTGTTATTGTTGTTGTAGCACTTGTTATCATTCATGGAATTGCCATTATTTTTGTGGCTATTGCAATTTGCCATGACATTTGTGTAAAATGTCGTTGATGCCGATGTTGCCGATGCCGATGTCGATGTCGCCGCCGATGCGGTCGGTGTTGTCGGATTTCCGTTTATTTCACCGCAGGCCACTCCTCCCCCGCCACCACACAACACCTCCCTGGACGGCACTGAAGCGGCTCTTACGCCGTCCGCTGCCAAAGCCAAAGCTGCTGAGGCCACCATTGTTGCTTCTGTTATTGCTGTTGGCCTCGGAGTGGTCGACGCCACGACGTTCGAGTTGCCGGTGCCATTGTCGCTTGTTGTCGCACCGGAAGTTGTTGCTTTCAGTGCCGCAGCCAGTGTTGTTAACATTCTTTGACTTCCGTTCATCATCATCATGGGTGTGGACTGTTGCTGTTGTTGTTGTGGCCGTTGTATTGGTGTGTGACACTTGAGGCCCAGTGGTACTGCCGAGCCGAGCCCATGCGTGTGGGAATCAATGAGTACGTTGGCATGCGTGTACATAAATACATATGTGCGTGTGCGCGTATTTGCGTGCGTATGTGTGCGTGAGCGATGGATAGAAAAACATTTAAACAATTTTTATTTGAGCCTCGTAAATTCCACTTTAAATGGCAGCCATACTATTTACCCTACAACTCTCGACGGCCAACAATTGAATCACCACAATTACAAATTTCGCATTCGTTTGCGACACCATTGCGCCAGCAGTCAGGCAGGCAGGCACTCAGTCAGTCAGCCAGTTTTTGTGGTCATGCAATGGACTTGTTTACAAATTGGGTCTGCGCCAGTGTTGACCAAACAAAATCGAGCCACATCGGCGCGTGGCAGGGGACTTGTACTGGACTGGAGTGAATTTGTGGTTTTGCAATTATGAAAATAACTGAAATGCGGATATGTAAATTGTTCACAAATACTAAACTAAATTTTTCAAATGGAAACCGCCGCATAGTTTTTGCCTGCCCAATGACACTGACAACTTTTTACGGTAGTGGTTATGTTTGTAATTTGTCTCAATTT